CTCCGATTCAAAACGGCGATTCACACTTGGGGACCTTCCCTCGTTAGTAAATTTCATTAAAATATTAAAAAAGATAGTGGCATCATACGTCATAGTGGTACTAAATTAAAAATGAGACAAAAAATTAGATTTTTTATGATCCTCGACAGTTGTTCTTTTCTCTCTACAGGCATTCTTTCTACAGAATCTCACTCAAACATATTCTATGTCAAGCAACTTCAAAGGTTCATCATAGATCTCAATATTTCGTCTGTGTTCAACTTAAATAAAACAATTTTTTTGGTATTTTCAATAGTATTTTGCAGAAATATAAAAATATTAATATACATCTCTTTCATTGACAATTACATATATCAGACTTACAGATTGCCTTCGACTATCCATTACTTCTCTCGACAACTAAATATTATGATCACTGTCGAAAGAATAACTCTTCAATCACTCATTTTCATATGAGAAGATTCATTTTATAATACCTGATATGGAAATTTATTTTTCTCAAAAAAAAAACTTAGTCGTTGGAGTTGTGATATTTCACCTATCTTATGTTTTCTTGAATCGAACATACCGAATGAAATATGAAGTCAAATTATACAATATTTTATATTAAAATTATATCGAGGAACATTGCTTTATTAATGAAATGTTCTTTGATATAAATGAAATGAAGCATCAAAGATTTTCATAACATTTCATCGGGAGCAAAACTTTTTCTTTCTCTGTTCTTTAATCACAACAAAAAGATGAAGATTATTTATCATACAGGATTGACACATGGCTCTGTCTGATCGGAGCACTTCATTTCCTTATACTCATTCTTTTACAAATTAACCTAATTAGTCTTTCATTTTCAAACAAAATCTTTCTCAACCATTTTTCTTTTCTTTCGTTTTTCCTATTGCAATGTCTTCATTTACTTCTATCATTTATCTAATTACATCTATTCATTTCATTCAACTTTTCCTCAACTTACCAAAAGAATCATTTATCAATGAAAATTTTTGAATTCGATCATTCCGTCGATCAGTAACAAACATGTTTCCAGGACGATCAAAACTAAAACTAAATGGAGTATTCAATTGATTGGATTTTGAACCCATTCCATAACATCCAACTAAACATCGAAAACCATTCACGCCTGAACCAACAATCCGATGATTGCTATAATCAACAATGAATAAATATTTTTCAGCATCTAATATAATTACAGTTGGACAACGAAGTGTAACTGTTGCATTTATCGATGTTCTTCCAGCTACTGTAATACCGTCTGATTCTCCTAACTGAAACAACTGAACACGATTATTTATACAATCTGCCACATATGAATCCAAGTTTACATCGACAAAGATTCCACCAGGACCATCAAGTTCATCTGAGTCTGATCCGTCAATACCTGTCCCAGCAGCAACTCGATTTGAAGCCATCTCAGAATCATTTAATGATCTTTTCACTACTTGATGATGATCAACCATTGAACAGTAAAGAGTATCATAGATATCGACAAACAAACCTTCACATCGTGAACTGACATTCATCACCGTGGCAAAGGCACCTGTTTCTGCACGCCATCTCTGTACTTGACCATTCTTACTACCATCATCAATGTAAATATCACCATTTGATGTCACGAAGATAGAAGCGGATTTTGTAAAACTACCGTGAATGATCTTTGTTGGATTGACACTTTCTTCATGCCATATTAGAATCGTGTTGTCCTCTCCATTAACAACATATATTGCGTTGTTTGTGTTCACAAAAATGGCGGTGGGATATTCACCAACAATTGATTGATCAGCGAAAGTGATTCCATTGGCATTCCAAATGGGTGTTGGAGAAAACTTTGGTTGATTGAATGAAAGAGCTAAAAAACGAGAAATCAGTAGAAAGAACATTAGACGAGAATTGTAACGGAAATAAAAATATTAATTTATAATTTTCTTTGAAAAATTCATTGTAATTAATTTCGAAAAAATTTTAATTGTCACTGACGACAAAAAATAATCAAATGATTTTATAGAAATTAATTGAAATTCGAAAAAAATTCTCTTGTGGATATTCAACTAAATAATTATTCAAAGAAATTATATAAGAAAAAAGTTTTGTAAGAAAGAAAAAATTTTGTGATAAAAATCAAATGAAAATATTTTTGTTTTTTTTTGTGTACTCAAATAGTGAGTACACTTCTAGAATCGGTCAGTGTGGCCGGCCGGCCGTCCGTATGGACGATAACGTTTGAAAGAATAGACCGATTGAGCTGAAATTTTGTACACAGAACTGTCTCATCAAGATCTCGGTCGAGTTCCAAGTTGAGCTTAATTGGACGAGTCATTCCCGAGTTATTAAAAAAATACTGATATTTTCCTATGATTTTTATACACACTTTTTGAAGTACACATAACTCTCGGATGCAGTCCGAAGTTTCCACATTTATTCAAATAAGCGATTGAAAGACTCATCCAATTTGGCACATATGCAATTCATATTTCATAGCTTCAAACAGAGATCGGCAACTCCAACTCGGAGTTGGAGTTACCCCTCTCTGACTTCAAAGCAATTTAATAACACAGCGAGACGCTCTAGACAGGGGTAGTCTCCAACTGAGTTAGGTTGTGTCTAGACGAGATCATGATCATCACCTTTGAATATGTGATAAAAGTTTCACGAAATTCCTTCCAAATTCTACACTGTATGACTTGACTCTCTTCTGTTCAACGTCAATTCTAACGAACAGTATCATCTTTACAATGGTTGATCTTCAGTATGTGATAAATAAAAGTATTTACCTGATATTTCATTGTTAAGAATGAGCAGAGAAATAATGATAAGAATGCAGATATTCCACATCATTCAGCAAGATTTTTTTTGATAAATTAGTTAGCTGATACAATAATCTTTTTCCTCTGTCTTCGATTAAAACAAAATGACACTCATTGTGATTTTTCTCTTTAGTTATATCTCTCTTTTTCTCTCATTCATTTGTTCCACCATGACACATAAAGAGAAAAAATAGTGTTATAGAGAAGGTTTTATCGTAGATAAGATAAAAAACTAATTTCAGATTTGATTTATGAATCAAATTCATCATTTTATTTAACATTTTCAGATGAACTTCATTCTCTTTGAAAACATAGAGTGAAATTTAAATTTAAAATGATTGTTTTCTATTTTAATTGTATACAAAAAAAAATTTCATTTAAATGAAAAAGAACGTGATGAAGCGAAAGAAGAAATGATCAATGTCTAGATTAATTATCGTACGTGTTTTAACTGAAAATAAGATATCAACTATCATCGTCAACAAATGATTGACGTCAATGAATAAATCATGATTAGTTTGATGTCTTTTTTTATCTGACTCTGTTAAATAACCTGCTTTGTCAGGACTCACTTTTAATCACGTCCTTTGTTTCTCTATGCGCAATATGTATTTTTGAGAAAAGATTCCTTCTTTGAGTATTTTAATCTTTTTTAGAATGAAAACTCATCAGATATAAAAAATGCAGAATTGTTCATCAGGATGGGGTGGATTATTCTGAGGGACAATAAAAAGATGCATGAATTCATCTCTAAATTCAATATTTGCAACGACAACTCTGAAAATGGGTGGATTTTATCAATTAGTAGCAATAGAAGTATTCAAACATAATCACAGTTGTGAAAATCAAATTAATTATAATATCATGTCAACTTTAAAATTAATTTCAATAATGTTTCAAATGAACAAATATTAGGCAACGAAAGTATTGGTAAATAAGTGAACTGAACTCATGATGAAATGTAACAAAGAAACAAACTTATTTGTTTCAATATTTTGGATTCGTCGAAAAGACTAATTCTAATAATTCTTTTAATAGTAATAGATAGATATTATTCATATATTGTATAGAAATCATAGTTTGATGATAAGTTATATTAAAAACAATAAATTCGACTTTGATCATGAAGAAGATCGATATTATCAGAATAATACAAGAGTTTGAGAAATAATTAATTTAATTACAATTGAAATCCCTCTGCTTGATTTTTTTCCGTATACCAAAACTATTTTGTAGATCTAATACAGCATAAGACAATATTTATATTACATAGAATAATCGATAAACAGAAAAGACCGAACTAATAGTTAATAGTATTATTTTCTTTAACTGAGTAAATCAATGCATAATTTATAACTCGAAAATCTTATCAAAAGTAGAAAAATATATTTAGTTTTTCTGAAATTTAACAGATTTAAAGTTTCAATTATTTCTACCATTAGAAAAAAATGTCATCGCGCATAACGATGACGACAAAACTTATGCATATACAATATTGATCAATGTGAAGAGGATGTAGGTGCAAATATATATGGTTATTAGTTGTTACTCACGTCGAATATTCATAAATAATATATAATTCAGTATCTAAAAGTATCTCAGATTTCATTGTGATATTTTGATGAATAAATAACGAATACATGCTTCATTAGTATCTTTCATTTCAAACCATAGAGAAACTAGTTACTTCATTCTTGCATATGGTTACATCAATTAGAAAATTTTCCTTATAAAATATAAATTCTATCATTTCGTATCTGTAAAATTCATATTTTCAACCAATAATTATATTGATTAATTTTCTTTCTCTCCATGTGAATTTTTCTAAAAATGCTAAAATCGGCAAAAACGAACCGATTTAACTACTTGAAATGGACCGGTCACAAGTCTGCATCAATTCAATGACATACTCATAGTGAAGCACGAATCTAAATAAGATGCAAAAAGTACCTAGAATATTGATTTAAATAAACAAATATATTAATAGTCGATAGACACGAAATTGACAGTGCAATGCAAAGTTCCCTACAGTTATTTTATATGTCTCATGCTCGTTCTATTTTCTGATCGAAGCAGAAAGATTTAAACTTCTATCGAAATTATTAGATTCTTTAAATAATTGAAAACTACGTTGGAATGTACACTTGATTGAATGCACAGTTTTAGTATGCACTTACATCCAAACAAGGATTATGTCGCATTAATTATATTGTTTTTTTAATCAAGAAAAGTCCCATAAAAGAAAATTTTAATTTATTAGAATTGAAGCTGATTTATGAATTCATTTATTATTAATATATAGCCAAGTGAATTGAATAAATGAATATCGAGGCTGTGGCTGTGGGTGTACAGATTATAGAAGATCTATACTCACACCAAGTTAAATAATTATTATTATAACTATTAACATATCTCTCAGCCGATTCTGACACTGATATAATTAATAGATTATTATATTTAATACGAAAAAGTCGATTTTTGTGTGTTAATTTTATTTTAAAAATAATAGATTTTTCAGTAGAATGTAATTCTAGGCATAAATTTGTATTTAATGTTATCCTTTTTCTAGCTAGTCTCTAAACATCATAATTATAATCAGACATTCTATGTTACTAAATATAAAAATAATTACATGTTCGAATTCTATATGTTATTCATGATAAATTTTTACAAAGGATTTTTAGAATGTGAGCTTCATATGACCCTGTATGAATAGTTTAAAAGAGAAATGATCTTTATTGAAATTTTTTTTCCAAAATTATATAATAGATATCACGTAAATATATTTTTTTAAAATCTGACGAATACGATAAACTTCTCATTACAAACTGAATAAAACATTTAATTATTCTATTTGACTACTTATTGACTTTCAGCTTCTAAATTTAATTTCATATACTTTGAAAGCAACTATGTTTAAGTAATATATTTCATCATGTATATTTATAATTTTAGACATATATAACGTATTATTAAAATGCTGAGAATGTATCTCTTGCTTTTGAAGTTCAAAATAAATTTAGTTTGCAACATCATCAGTATTCTCGAAGTGATTATTAAAAATGTCAGTTGATAGCAATGAAACTTTCGATTATGAAGATAATACTTATCTTCCATTGGAAAGTTCGTTTAGTCGATCAATTAAATTTAATATTTTGATTAGTTGTCAAATTCCTTCGATTATTTCATTCGTTTACGAGAATTACAAGTAAAACGACATCATCATGTGTAAGTATTTCTCTTATTTTCTAAATAATGCAAAAAAAGAATTTTCGCTTTAGTGTAATATGTTTATTAATCTGTAATTTTCTTATAATAACAATGGAATTACCTATTACTCTTTCATATCTTCATGTTGGTGAACTTATCCCATCATCTTATTCTCTTTGTCTTTATTGGGTTTATATTAAGTCTCTTCTTTTTCCGTCAAATGCATGGATTATGGCAATAGCATCAGTTCAAAGATATATTTTCATATTTCATAAACATTTGATGAATTCTTATCTTAAACATTATATACTCATTTTTTTACCACCCATTTTCTTATCTATCTGCTATTTTATACCTATTTTCTTCTATCCATGTCAACAACAATTTGATTATAGTCAAATATGGTGTTATGGTGCATGTTATCTAAATGAAGAATTGATTGGATAGTTAGTACATTGATACCTGTTGTTAGGGGTGAGAATTTATTGTTATTGTTATAAATAACAATAACCAAAAAGTTATTGTTATAAATAACAATAACACTTTTTGTTATTAGTTATAAATAACAATAACTTTTTTTGTTATTTGTTATAAATAACAAATAACTTATATTTTTGAAAAATATTTTTTCTGACCTCATTGTATATTTTAATTGTGTCCGTTATGTAAACTTACATTTTGGAGCGAATTTTCTAGATCTCTACTACCGATTTAGATGGTTCAATCAAGATATGAAGCTAGCAGATGTGTCAGAAAAAAAAGTTATTGTTATTTACCTGTTATTTATAACAAATAACTATCATAAAAAAGTTATTGTTATAAATAACAATAACAAAAAATAGTTATTGTTATTGTTATTTATAACA